ATCCCCCGTTTCGCCCGGGTGATTCTATCCCACGGCCAAGAATTCTCGGCCACACCCCAACTACTGTGATCAGCGTTCGAAGTACGGAACGCAGCGCGGAGCGTGAGGTTTGCGCAGCACACGCTACCCACTGAGTTAATATACTGTTCAACCTGCAGGAAACTGTTAAAGATCACTCAATATTTCGGATGGGCTAAGAGTTCATTTTTGGCAAGGCTGGGCCTGTGTACTAGCGGTTGAAAACGTAGGCTCAAAGGTCACCCAAACGAGAAGCAAGGAGAAAATGACGAGTGGTTGGCGAGTTTAGGGTGTTGGTGTGGTTCTTGCGAGGACCCAAATTTTGACGCTTCTCTTGTCCGTCCAAAAGAGGGTTGTCCACCATTATTGTGCTGCCCGACGTTTTCCTTCTTTTCTTTATTGGAAAATAGAATAAAGAGTGGTAGCTCTTCATCGATGAACCGCCGAGGCGGAAAAACCAAAAATAGAAAAGGCCATGAACGCATGGAATCTTGAACCATTACCAGCTTACAGCAAGGTACTCCTCCACAAAGGTTGGAATACTGTTTGGCCGGAACGCCAGGTTGGCCTACTCCCCCCCCACCGCTCATCTCTCTCTCCTCTCTCTCTCTCTCTCACACACACACACACACACTCTCCCTCTCTCTCTCTCTCTCTCTCTCTCTCTCTCGCTCGCTCGCTCGACAGCTCGTTCGGCGATCGTTTCCGCAGTTCTTTCTTTTCTCTTTTCATCATTGACCTGACGGGGCCTACCGTCTTAACCCGAATAGAACGGCCGGTCATTATCGCTGCATCTGGACCGAATGTTGCGCCAAATACAGCTATAAGACCGGGCGTTCTATTCTGGTGAAGACGGTTTCATTCATGCGCAATGTAGGGTTCGAACTCTGGCTGGTCTTCCAAACATTTCGCGGGTGCACCATTCAGCCACATGGGCTGGCTCTAGGGAATCCGCTCTCCTCGTTCGCTCCCACAAACCAGGAGAGAGGAGCGGGTCGGCAAGGTCCCGAGATTGAGGGAAAGTTACTCGAGGAGAATAACGACAGAAGCGAATCCCGTGACCGCGCCACGTGACTGATTGGGTCTGATGTTCTTTTTTTTTTCTTTTTTTTCCTCCTTGCACTGATTGACCCTGCATCTCATTGCTGGACTCCGTGACAGCGGGAAGCAGTGAAAAAAGAATTGGACAGCACATGGCCGAGTCAGCCACCCTTCGCGGAAAAGTACTGGGTAGCCCTCCAACGCGGGCGGGATTCCTTTTCCTGAAAAGGAAAAAAAAAGAAAAAGAAGAGGGAAAAAGAGAAAGAGAGAACCGTTGCCCAACTTTTAGAATTATTTTTGTGGTTACGTCTCGTGTGAAAGCTACTGTGCTGCCATAAAAGGTACTGTGGAGCCCCCATCTCGCATGTGGACGACCAGGTGCATGGTTCTAGCACCCACGTGAGGGCGAAAAACCGTGAGAGAGGAGTCCTAAAAGACCCCGCCCATGTGCCTCAATGTACTGCTCCTAATGTAGGCAGATGATAATGAGCTCGAATCCTGGGGCAATCAACTGAAAGAATTCAATACCAATGTTCTGGGGGATTTCCCCTCCCCAACCGCCCACCCCACCCGCGAAAGAGGGAAAAATTATCGAGCTGAATGTCGAAAATCGAGGTGAGGAAAACAAACGAGTCCCGTTCATTGTGACAGGTAGCTATGCTTGCAGGGGTGCCCTGTACAGTATAGGAGTAGTGGTAGGTAGATAGTGAAAGGTGAAGTTGAGAGAAGAATTTTGCGTAGGTGAAAAAAAAAACACGAGGTGAAAGACGAGAGAGAAACTTCACAAAAAAAAGAAGAAAAAAAGTAGACAGAGAAACAACGGGCCGAATTGCACCGCTCCCTATCCGCCAACATTGAATGCAAATCGACATTTGTGTTTGTCCGGATGCATCCAGAATCTTTGCGGAAGGCGAGTTGTTCAACGACCGTCTTCGCCCGAATAGAACGCCTGGTCATAATCGCTGTATGTAGATTGAAAGTTGCACGAAAATACGGCTATAATGACCCGGCGTTGTACTCGGGTAAAGACGGTGGGCACAAAGAAAGATGTTCAAGAAAGCGAGGTGAAGCACTCTGTTGTGCTGCTGCTGCTACCTCCTCCTGCTTTCCAACGAGCACAACGCACCCTCATAGTAACTCTATAAGGCCGGAAATGTAGCTTGTGTACATTCGTGATGAGGGTGCGTCTATTTGGGAGAAGAGGGTAGTACTGCAGCGGCTACTCTGCCATCTCAGGGCATGAAGAGGGAGTGCTGCAGCTGCTAGTTTGCCATCTCGGGGGAAAAGTTTATCTGGCTGCAATTACGGTCCGAACTGGATGCATCTGACTGCAATTTCGTCCAGACTTGAGTCCAGAAAGTCCTCGTGTGAGTATGGCTAGCTTTTTTTTTTTTTTTTTTTTTACTTGGTATTGGGAGTAGTTGGGTGTTTAAGAATTGTAATTAATTGAGGGAGACGCGTGGTAGTAGAAGTAATCGAGGACCTCGCTCCACTACGCAACAGTCTACACGAATCTTGGAGAACATATAGTTGTCCCAATACATTCAAAACGCTTGGCACCTTCAAATGCACCTTGTCCACAAAGCCACGCAAATGCATGCAGATTGTTGAGCAGAGGAGCGAGGCCCCGAGTTTGACAGACGAGTCGGCACACAGCTCGTTCCTGAACTCAGGGCATACTTACACCAGGACCTTTTGGACAGACTTCTGGACGTTATTTACCGTCCTATTGGTCCTGGTTTGGCCGTAATTGCAGTCAGATACATTTGGGAACTTGAAAGTCTTAGTATGGCCTCAATCAGGGGAAGAGGGAATGTTATTACACATTAATTAGTTAAAGCATTGGAGATCGAATTATAGCTTTTTTTATTTACAACCACGAGTACACCCGAACAGAAAACCAGGTGTTTGTACCTGTATCTCAACTGGAAGTCTCCCCCGATACAGCATTGACGACCGGGGCGATCTATTCGGGCTAAGACGGTACCGCTGGGGTGAGGTCCAAGTAACCTGGATTCTCTTTCTTCATTTGTGTGATAGTGAATTTATGTTGTTGACAACAATCGTAAGACTACCAGCCAGATTAGCCAAGATGCACCGCGGCAGCAAACATCACTCAGAAGAAGAGAAGGTAGTTTGGAGGAAGAAGAAGAAGAAGAAGGAGGGGAAGAAAAAGTAGTAAAAGAAGAAGAAAAGACAGCTATCCAACGCAGAGTAATGAAAAAGAATGCCGCACGTACTTACTCACAGTAAAAAATAACATGACGCACACTGAGCACGTTAACCGTGGCGCGATCGTCAATGGTCGGAAACAAAGAAAGCATCTGAAGGCAGACTCACGTCTTTTCTGGATGTATCTGGCCGCAATTACGGCCAGATTTGAGTCGAAAAAGTCCTTCCTATTAGGAGTATGCCCTCAGATAACTGGGGGAGGGTACCCAACAAAATGGTGTCCAGCGTACTGTAGCTCACCAACGAGCCCAGCTCAGTTGGCACACCCATGAACTGTTGTCATACAAACCAAAGTTCTAATCTTTCTGCAATCAGATGAACAGGTTTTTTTTTTTTTTTTTTTTTTAACGAAAAGCCCTTTTGCAAGGCCTCTATCCCGGCAGTGGTGAGGGAACCAGCAGGATTGAGGCCGATCAGTTCATTGATGATGAAAATTGAAAAAAATGCGGAGCTTAGCGAACCTCATTCCAGTCGACGAGCTCGATGGGGCCTCGCTCCACTGCACAGCGTTCTAAATCGATGTTTTTCTGGCAACGATCAGTCGAAATGTTGAATCATTTGAAATGTATCTGGCGAAGAGAACAGTCCATGTCCATGTAAAACGTTGAGGAGTGCAGTCACGACCCGCGAGCACATGGGGACGGGGTCGTCGCCCGTTGGGCTTGGATTCCATCTGCAGGGACGGAGCATTTCTGATCGTCGATCTCCGATACGGACGGTCACAAAGGCTTACTCCCGGCCGGTGGAATGGTGCCCATGAACAACCCTCCTGGCTGACGCTGATCCCCTGACGAACTCTTCTCAGTGAGTGAATAGGAGCCGCTGAGAAACCCTCCTAGACGACACGGACCCCCTTAAGAACCCTTCTCAGAGACACCGACGCCCTGAAGAACCTTCCTCTGAGTCAGTGACCCCCTGAAGAACCCTCGTCAGTGCCACTGACCCCCTGACGAACCCTCGTCAGTGCCACTGACCCCCTGACGAACCCCCCTTCAGTAACATCCACCCCCTGAAGAACACTCCTCAGTGACCCTTACCCCCTGAAGAACCCTGCCCTGTGACACGGGAAGCTGAAGAACCCTCCTCATTGACACAGAGGCTCCTCACGAAACTCGGCACCCAGTAGCCTGGCCGTGGCCCATGGATGGCCACACGTTGTTGTACGGTTAGTGAAAAACCAAGTTGGCGAAAACGAGGCGACTCGGACGAGGAGGGGAGGAGGAAAAAGGAGGGAAGCCACACGTCTGTGTGCATGAGAGAGTGGAGACGGCTGTGTATCGGAGAGGAAGTGAAAAAAGAAGAAGCTCAGCCCGCAGATGTTTATGTTTTTGGTTCGTATGTGAGCATGTGGCCGCAACATGCCCACGTGGACTCAAATCAGCCTGCCTGTGAAGCTGTGACAGACCGTTTCGTCGTCTACAACTATCTCATTAGGATGTTTGACTCATTTGGATGCTGAACTTCAACGGTGCCCCAGCACAGCCTCTCTCTCTCTCTCTCTCTCTCTCTCTCTCTCTCTCTCTCTCTCTCTNACACACACACACACACACACACACACACACACACACACACACACACACACACACACACAAAACTATACTTCTCATCTGCTTGAAATAGGGCGAGAAGAGACGCCGGAGGGCTGTCAAAGTGTGTTCATGTACGTGGGTGAGCGCGTGCGAAGGTGTAACGGCAGAAAAGGGAGGCCGGGCCGAGGAGATCGAAGAGCAGAACCTGTGCAGGCTATCCTTCTGTGCATCATTGCACGAAGAGGAACCATCCATCTCGAGCAGTTCGAGTCCTACACAATAATCCATATTTGAGGAGATGGTCAGTAGACCAGCAGGAGGAGGTGGAGGAGGTGGAGGAGGTGGAGGAGGCGGAGGAGGCGGAGGAGGCGAAAGAGGAGGCGAAAGAGGAGGCGGAGGTGGTGAAGGAGGAGGAGGCAAACACAACGGCTCGACGGGAGAGAGGGAAAAAGGACGAACGGGGGAAGGAAGTTCAGCAATACACGATCTGGCAGGGAGTGGTTGGAGGCGTCTGAGAGGGGGAGGAGAAGGAGGAGGAGATCCTGTAGACTCACCGCCGATATGTGAGTATCGAGGAGAAAGTGTACGAACTGCTCGGACGTATGATTGGACCTATATCGGCGAGCGAGAGAGGTCCTCTCTGCCGATGTCGTTTTTACTGCTCTATCTGCTCCTCCTCCCCCTCCTGCTGCTGAGCTCCTTGAGCTCTGCGCACGGATCCCACGTGACTTATTTCGACTCCAGAACACATTCTTTTATTCTATCTTTTTCACCAGGTTCTTCCGAACATGTCCAACTGCCACGGTGGGATAGGAGTCAGTTTGGAAGTTCGCCTTCGAAGACGAGGGCAGGAAACAACGTGAATGCCACGTGTCGGTTCTCTCTCCTCCCTAGTGTACATACTGTACCCAACTTGAAGGCACATGTTTCTCACGGGCTCGGTCGAAGGGGTGGTAGGCTCGGTAGTATGTTTGGTAGCCGTAGGTCTCCATTGAACTCGCCGACGACTCTTTGTACAATTGTAACGGAGGGCTACTTCATTCGCTCAGTAAGCAGAGGACGGTGCCGGCTAACGGAACAACAGGTGCAGCAATTTGCTGCCGTTAAGAAGCGATGGCGAACAAGCTTAAGCAGGATTCGAAGTCCTGATCATCGTCTTGTACTACATGTGTCCATCAACTTCAACTTACCCCCATCGCGTTTCCACCCCCCTCCTCAGCCAATTTCCGCTTTCCATTCGTCCACAAGGAATCAACTCCCTTCCAGAACGTTCTTCTCTGCTGTCATCCGATCTCCATCGTCTCTTTTCCAGCTTCACGCCGAAGGTGAAGCTGAGGGCGATGTGGGCGATGTCGGCAATGTGGGGGGCAATGTGGGGAGCAAAGTGGGGGGG